GCCCTTCCCCCAACCCTCTTCACAAAAGCCTCTGAAAAATCAGAACTGACAACTCGGAAGCTGAACTCAACCCAATGAGCAACGGGGAGAGAAAGCTCAGCTGGGAAAATAAGAGGGGGGAATTAGTTGGCTGGAAAGAGAGGGAAGGGGGGCGTCTACAGCCTCCACTGCCTCCCATAGTGCATGGGCTTAACAGTGCATCGGGATGGGGTGCACAAGTGAGGAGGGCCTCGTGGGGGGCATCCGCTCCAGCCCTGCTGGCAGAGGAGAGGGTGGAATGGGGAGAATGTTTGGGCAAAACTGCTCTAACAGGTGTGAGAGACAGAAGTTCCAGCACCTGCAGTCAGGTCCATAGCATGCCTTTGGCTTAGCCCAGCTAACAATACTTTCTTTCTCATTCATACACACAAGGACCACAGACAATGACAATGACGATTCTCCTCTCTCTCATACACACACAGAGAAAGAGAGTGGTGGGGTGGGGGGTGGAATCACCAAGTGGATTGTCTGGAATGTAACTGGGATGTGATTTGCCATGTTCCTTTTGGTAAGCCAGCCTCAGAGCTACAATTTCAATGAGGTGTGTAAATCATCTTAAGAAGTGAATAAGTGATAACACGATGGTGGCTCAGACAGAACAGCCTGCCCATGGCCACAGCTCGGGGACAGAGCACCTGCTATACATACCAGAGGTCCCACATTTGATCCCCAGCAACTCCAGGGAAAGCCTTGGAAAGATGCTTGCCCGCCATCCTGGAGAGTCAACATCAGCGAGCCTGGGCCAGATGGGCCAAAGCTCTGACACAGGATAGAGCAGTTTCCCATGTTCCTAAGCCTGCACCCAGAGGCTATGGCAGAACCAGGATCCTGAGCCTAGCTGCACCCAGAACAGCAATGGGCAACTTCTGGCTATCCAAATGTTTTGGCCTAGCAAGCATAGCCCATGAGGAGGCCCCCGAGGGTGTGGAGGAGGCCCCTGAGGGTGTGGAGGAGGCCCCCGAGGGTGTGGAATGGGCTTCCACGGGAGGTGGTTGAGGCCCCATCGGTGAGGGTGTTCTAAGATAGGCTGGACATGCACATGGTGGGCATGTCATGAGCGGAGCCGGCTGGTGCCAGAGGTCAGACTAGATGGCCCGGGAGATCACTTCTGACTCGCTCTATTTCTATGTTTCTATCATGGAAGCTGCAGGTCAGCACACCTGAAAGGCCACAAGTTACCCACCCTCAGTTTGGGATCTAACTATTTCAAACCAATCTCTTCCTGCAGGGCCGGTCTTAGCGTTTTCTCTACCTAATGGGCTACACCACCAGCCCAAGACATTTTGCTGCCTGAGGCAGAACAGTAAACATTTCCCCACCACTCAACAAGCCAAGCCAAGGCCCAAAGTAATCAAGGTTAGCCCTATTATTTTGCCACCTGAGGCTGAAAAATCACACAAGACTCACATTCTAGAGCCAAATAATACAGCCATAATAAATTAAATAACTCACAAGTGTCCCCCCTTTTCATGTCAGGTCAGCCCTGCCTCAAACACTGGCTGGCTGAGAGTCCTTCCCCTGTTGTCATGGAGGGAAATAATTCCAGATATTGACTTGGAAGTAACTATTCTAAGATGCAAGTCAAACCACATCTTGATGGTGCCACCACCGCTTTTCTATCGGCTGCTACCCACACAAACTGTTGAACTGTCAAATCAAAACAGTCAAAACCAGCTGCAATGCCATCCAGGATCTGCCATCTGAAGCAGTTGCCTCAGTTTTACTTCCTAATAGGGTGACATGTATTACCAGGAAGGCAGAGTGAGCAAAGTAGGTTTTATTGTATTTAATTATTGTATTTAGTTTGATGGGAGTTCACAAGCCTAAACCACAGATTTTTTTTTTCTTTTGTGGGGTGGGGGGATGCAGCAAATATGGAAAAAAAAATCTGTTTCCAGTTTTGCAAAGTACAGGAGATTTAAGAGAGGCTGTTCTGGGCACCGTGGGAAATAAAATTAGTTCTAGACCTGCAGAAAGGCAAGGTCCTACAGTCTTTTTGGGTGCTAATAATTAGTGGTGCATCTTAGGCTCTGGACTTAATGATCTAATAGCCCCCTGCCCCCTTCTTTAGGCAGTGGAGTATTTTATTTCACTTGCTTCAACATGTGAGAAGTCAGCCCTGCTGCATTTGAAGACCCTCCTGCTCAATCTGCTGAGTGGGGCCCTGGACCTTGAAGTTTTCCCTGACAGCAGCAAAGCCAGTAATGGGATGCAGAACTGACCCAGTGGGGTTCAATCCATTGAACAAACCCCATGAAGGTCAAGCACAGTCCCCTTATGCCATTCTTGTTGCTGTTGTTAGTCACAAAGTCATGTCCGACCCATCACGACCCCATGGACAACATTCCTCCAGGCCTTCCTGTCCTCCACCATCCCTGGGAGTCCACTTAAGCTCACACCAATTGATTCAGTGACTCCATCTAGCCACCTCATCCTCTGTCGTCCCCTTCTTTGTTTGCCGTCAATTGTTCCCAGCATTAGGCTCTTCTCCAGGGAGTCCTTCCTTCTCATTAGGAATATTAAAATATTAAAATTTTTATTGTATAATTTTGTTCTTGTTGTGAGCCGCCCCGAGGCTTTGTTGCGATGGGGGCGGCATAAAAATGTTTTAAATAAATAAATTAGGTGGCCAAAGTATTTGAGTTTCATCTTCAGTATCTGGTGTTCTAAAGAGGAGTCAGGGTTGATCTCATCTAGGACTGACCGGTTTGATCTCCTTGCAGTCCAAGGGAATCGCAGGAATCTTCTCCAGCACCACAATTCAAAGGCCTCAATTCTTCGGCGCTCAGTCTTCCTTATGGTCCAACTTTCACAGCTATACATTGCAACTGGGAAAACCATAGCCTTGACTATATGCACTTTTGTTGGCAGGGTGATGTCTCTGCTTTTTAGTATGCTGTCTAGATTTGCCAGAGCTTTCCTCCCAAGGAGCAAGCATCTTTTAATTTCTTGGCTGCAGTGATCTTGGAGCCCAGAAAAATAAAATCTGTCACTACCTCCATTTCTTCCTCATCTATTTGCCAAGAAGTGAGAGGACCGGATGCCATGATCGTAGTTTTCTTAATGTTGAGTTTCATGCCAACTTTTGTGCTCTCCTTCTTCACCCGCATCAAGAGGCTCTTTAGTTCCTCTTCACTTTCTGCCATTACAGTAGTGGTATCATTTGCATATCTGAGGTTGTTGATATTTCTCCCAGCAATCTTTACTCCAACTGGTGATTCATCTAGCCCCGCCTTTCTCATGATGTGCTCTGCATATAAGTTAAATAGGCAGGGCGACAGTATACAGCCTTGCCGAACTCCTTCCTAATTTTGAACCAATCAGTGGTTCCATGTCCAGTTCTCACTGTTGCTTCTTAACCCACATATAGGTTTCTCAAGAGACTTATAAGATGGTCTGGTACTCCCATCTCTTTAAGAACTTGCCACAATTTGTTGTGATCCACACAATCAAAAGCTTTAGCATAGTCAATGAAGCAGAAGTAGATGTTTTTTCTGGAACTCCCTAGCTTTCTCCATGATCCAGCGTATGTTGGCAATTTGATCTCTAGTTCCTCTGCCTCTTCAAAATCCTGCCTGTACTTCTGGTAGTTCTCAGTCCACATACTGTTGGAGCCTAGCTTGTAGGATGTTGAGCATAACTTTGCAAGCATGTGAAATGAGTGCAATTCTAGTTCATTTCAATGGGGCTCATGCAACAGGATGTTCTAGTGAACTGTGTTCCTCCTTCACTGTTGCGCATGATGGGACTGCTTGGCCTTTCCACCTCAGATGTTAAAACACCTTGAAACAACTGTGAATGGAGTGAGAACAGCAGGGCCAAGTCTGCCACCCAAAAGGCTTTGGTCCATCCCAAGTCTTGCTGCAGCTACCCCAAGGCATGTCCAGAAAGGTGTCATGGCACTGAATGAAGAAGCAGCTGATGAGTATCAGGGTTGCTGCTGGCTTGATCACTCAGCAGAGAGGAAGTTCAACGACCGGAACCTAAGAAGGGATGTTGCATTACCATCAACAGCTTTGCTGTGCAGGCTGTCTTAACAGGGGAAGTGGAAATAAAGTGTTAGAGAAGACAGAGGCTGCTGGGAGTGAAGGCGCCTTGGTTCTTCTCCTCTCTGTCTAGCTTAGCGTGCATTTGCCCTCAGACAAAATTAGAAGCCTTACATCTTGCCTAGTGGAGAAACAACCGCTCCAATTCTTTAGCCCACCTTCCTGTTCCCAGCAATGGAAAAAGAACCCTCCGTTGCAGCCCCTCCTCACCATCACCACCAGCAACAACAATATTCTCCAGTCTGCAAAATCTGGGTCACATTTTCTAGGTTTCAGGGCGGTGGCGGCGGGGGAGAGCGAGCGAGAGATTGCAGCCATGCAGATGCAGTCGCAGTGAGCCCCAGTGCTCATGGCATTTGATACAGGAGCACCCCAGAGGGGAGGGGGCACTGCCTGGCTAGGTCAGGCTGCAGCCCAAAGGGACGGCGCGGCGCTGCTCCGGGTCAGCCGGGCCTCCAAGCATAGGGGGAGATGGGTACCCGCGGAATGCCACTGCCCCCGTCGTCGCCACCTGCACAGGCAGATGTCCTGATGACGGCGGCTCACTGCCGCCCCCCACCCCGGCGCTGCGTTGGCGCAGTGGCCATCCACCAGCTGCGCCCCCACCGCGCCATGCCTTCCTCCTAAGGCGAAGGCAGCCACCGACACTTGCACACAATGCGCCCCAAGTCCCGGCCTCTCGGTGCCCTGCCGGCCCGCGCAGCCCCCATTCGCTTGGCCCCACACACGCAACTGCACTCTCCGCGCCCCGGTCGCCCCTCTCCTGCTCCCCCTCTGGCCAGCCGTTCCCCATCTCGCCCTCCCGTGCAGCAGCCCCACCCACGCCAGTAGCCACCCCATTGCAACGCCGCCTCTCCAAGCACCCCAACCGCCGCCTCCTTGACCCTCCACGCCAAGAAGAAACGGGAACCTCACCTTTCACCTGCGTCTCGTACTCGGCCAGGCTGCCTCGCTCGCGGCGCGCTTTCCCGGGAGCGCTCATTTCGACGGCTGCGGCCACCGCCGCTGCCCGCTTGTCCGCAAGATGCGCACAGGGGATGCGGTGCGGCGTGCCGCGCTCCCGAGCGAGGCACCGCCCCCTTCCCTTCCCTTCCCCTTCCCCAGAGGCAGAAGCTGGGGTGGAAGGCGGCGGCGGCGTTAACCCGCGGCGCTCCGGCCTCCCGTCCTCCCCGTGCCAGCCACAGGCCAGTGCCAGCCTCTCTCTCGGCCAGGGCCGGAGCCAAACGCTTTGTGTCACTCTGCCCAGGGCCGGAGCCACGCACAGACACTGCCAGCGCCGAGCCTGTGACACAGAAGCGGCTCTTGCACCACCATCCCGCTCGCGGGCGCGCGCGCGCTCTTTCGCGCTCTCTCTCTCTCTCTCTCACACACACTCAACGCACATGCACAAACCCTCCTCTTTATACCGTGCGTGAATTGAGCTGTAGTAATTAGACCTCCTCTGTCATCTTCAGCACCGGCACATTTTCAGGCAAAATATTAAAGGGGGCTTAAGCCTGGCTCACACGTGCACCAGAGGGAACCACCTCGTCCATTCTGCACGGATGTTACGCCACAGCTTCTGGTTCTGCTAGAAGGGCACAGCCATGGAGTGTTGTGCATGCAGGCCTGAACCAGGCCAGCTGTCCTGGGATTATACCAATGCCTGCTTGCTTGCCTGCATACCTATAACGAGAGCCACTGCAGTGTAGTGGTTAGTGTTGGACCGGAGCTTGGAAGACCCAGGTTCCACTCAAGTCAGCCATGAAGCTCGCTGGGCAGTCATGGACTCTTAGACTGACCTACCTCACAGGGTTATTGTGAAGATAAAATGGAGAAGGAGACGACCATGTAAGCCTCCCTGGATTCCTAGTCAGAGGGAAAAGGGCAGGATATAAATGTAATAATAAACATAAAATAGCATGCTAATATTAGGATTGCAGATACACATGTCTGGGAGTGGTGTAACATGAGTGTTTTCTACTGTGCAAAGCTACCCCTTGATGACTGGCATCTACACATGCAAACTGGATGCACAGCAAAAAAAAAAAAAAAAAACTGCATTTCAATTGGAAAAAAGCAGGATGCTGCTGTAAATGAAGTCTGACCACTTGTCCATCTAGCTCAGTACTGATGGCACTGATCGGCATGAGCTCTGCAAGGGCTCGTACAGGGGTGCATCCCAGCTCCACCTGCAGAAGCTGGAGAATGAACCAGATGCATTTTGTATGCATTGCCTGTGCGGCATCACTGAGTAAGGACTCAGCAGCTAATCGTAAAAGTTCTCTCTGCACTCTTACTTCCTCTGTGACCTGTTTTCACACATGCAAGCCGTTACTCAATGGTGCAGTCACCAAGCAATGCACATGCTTGTGTTAGCCAGTCATACAATGTAATGATACTAAGATAGCAGGAATACAGGTTTTGAAAAGTAATTAAATGCTTACATAAATTTAATTTTAAAAAATTATATAAAATTAATAAATTACATAAATTTATTTAATCTGGACTAAATATGTGCCTATTCTGACCTTTGGGAGGGGGAAATCTACTACCCCACTTGAGAACAGAGCTCCTGTCCCTTTCCCTAACCTCTTCTTCACTGACTTAAGCCATCAACAGTAGGACTGCCTTTCTGCTTCCATAGGCTATTACATTTCCACTTGGATCTGCAGTCTTTGCTTACCATGCGACGTGTTCCTCTGTTGTCTGCACCCAACCATCCCCTTCCATTCCAAGACCCTTCCATTCCAATGCACCCAATGCATCTCGAAGCAGCAAGTTCCACAAAACTCACAATGCATTGTGTGATCAGCTGCTTCCTTTCATCAATCAGAAACCTGTTAAAATCCGTCAATTTTCTTTAATAACTGCATGACCCAGGTGAAAACAAAAAAATATTCATTCTCCCCACTGTTTAATTCCCCTTGCTCCCTTGGGATGGATTAGATGGGCTGGGCTGGGCTCCAGTGCATTGCAGCCATACCCAGTTCCACAGTGGGGCCATGCCTATGCAAGGGTTAACCAAAGCACAGCAAAATAGTGAGCAAGTTTTCCAGTACTTCAATTCATTTTGTCCAGCTGAATGTCAAGCAAAGCAGGGCAAAGGAGGACCCACAATCCTCCAGATGTTGTTGGACTATATTTCCCACCATCTGTTGCTATTGAGGACTGTGGATGATGGGAAATGGAATCCAGCAACACTTGGAAGGGCAACAGGTTCCCCACTCCTGTTCTAAAATGATAATTGTACAGGAAGTGGCTGCAGACTCAGTTGGATTGGATTGGGCTGCCCTAAATGTTGTGCATGTTTCAGCTTTAACCCTGAGATGCTGGAACAAAGAAACAAGCTAACTGCCAATCTGTGCACAGAAGTAAATTTTGAACTGCAGATGCTCACCATGACAGTCCCCATAGGAGGAGGAACACTGCCAGCATATCAAGAAATCGTTTCTCACTGTTTTTGTTCCTACCAGCAGCAGGTCCTTCATAAAGCAATTAGGTCTTTAGTTGCCCATTCAAGACCAGACCACCCCAGAATGCCTGCAATAAAACAGCATATAGCAAGTACATATTTTGATGACAAAATGCTTTTCCTGTCCCACTGCTTTTGGGACTTGCAACTAAACTCAGAAGATCAGGAAAGGGGGTGTGGGGGGTGCTGGTGCATGTCATTGGCACCCCTGCTAATCAAATCGCACCAGTGCTGCGTTCCTGGCCCACTGTGCCATTGAGCCAATTCCCCATTTCTGAGAGTACAGAATCATGGCAGTTACTCAGATCTGATTCTAGACTTAAGCTAAGCAGACAGGTTACTTGTTCATAAGAAAAAGAAAAACATGGTCGCTTTTATATGAGGGAAGCTAGTGATAAACTGGAAGTGTTGCACTAGAGGAAAAAAGTAAGTCAAAGGCAGCACCCAGTGGCTCTCTCATTCACAGGACAAAGTATGCCTCTGTGGAACTGCAAACGGCCTCTGCCAGAATGAACCAGAGTGCTCTTCTTTGAATGGACCTTTATGGAAAGGATGTAAGCAATCACAGGATAGCTGAGTTGGAAGGGGCCAAGGAGGCCATCGAGCCCAACCCGCTGCTGGTGCAGGACGCCAGTTACACCATCCCATGCAGATAACTGTGCATTTGCTTCCTGAATGTCTCTAGTGTGGAAAAGCACACATCCTCCCTCGGCAACTGGTTCCACTGTCGTATTGCTCTTACAGCCTGCACCTGGTGTACTGTGGTTTAAGTTCATTGCTCCTACAATCTGGGTTGAGTGAAAATAGATCTTCTCCTTCTTCACTGTAACAACCTGTGAGGTACCTGTGGTGTGTTTTCATGTCACCTCATAGTCTTCTTTTCTCAAGACTGAACAGATCCAGTACTTTCAGCCTCTCATCATAAGACTTATTTGCAGACCCCATATCTTCACTGTTATCCTCCTCTGGACCCTCCCCAGATTATCAGCATCCTTTTTAAATCTGGGTGCCCAAAACTGATCAATGTATTCCAGGTGAGGTCTGACTAATGCAGATTTCATTTACCCATCTAATGCTTAGTTATTTGCCATTGTCAGGACAAAATGAGGGAAAGCTCTGCCATCACATGGCTGCTAAAAGCCTGACACTGTAAGAACAGCTTTAGACCTAAGATGGGATTCCTGATCTGATCAGGAATCCATGTCAGAAGTCTTGCTTCCCACTACACCTTAGAAATGCTAATGCTTGCCTGTCCTGCTCAGGTACACTCTTAAATATGCTAATTGTTCACCTGTCCTGAATCCTGCTGTCCTAACCCCATTCAACCCATTTTTTAATTCTCATGTGGCTTTAGCAAACTGCCTATCTTATGCCCCGCCCCTCCTCCATCCTGCACAGACTCCATCTTTGTAGTTCCTTCAGGGGCTGCCTACGTGCTGCACGTATTTCCTGAATGTCTGAAAAAACGACAAATGTTCTTTTGGTTGTACACCCCTAGGGGACTCTCTAAGGGTGTCTTTTTCACTCCTGTCACCATCAACCAGAAGCCTAGATTCACAGAACTGCATTAATTGTAACTTAGCCACGGGGTTGGGGTGCTCTTTCAATAGCTGTTTCAGTTGAAACATGTAAATGTTTGGAAATGTAATCTATAAATTAAATCACCAAAGAGGATAGATATAAATCAACTGGATTATCTAATCATTTGGCAACAATAATTCGAGTGCCCTGAGGGCTAATGTGCTTGAAGGACAGGATAAAAAAAGTCTTAAACAAGTCCAAGTTTTTAAAAGTTGAATGCGCAACTTTGCAGTGATGCTGCTTCTTCCTTTCTTGAAAGAAAAATGGAATAGGATCCAAGGAAAGCAAAAGCATTTGCGTTTCCTATCGTTATTTATCACGCCTTGTTCGCGCTTTCCCTCTACGACCTCTAGCTGCAACCCGTTCTTGCTTAGGCTGTCTATAGTTAGCACAAACAAGCTGTAACTGGAGCCTCCACGCTCCTCGGGCCACTGCAAGAGGGACTTCCCAGCACAGGAAACAGCTTGGCTTAGAATTCCACACCCCGCGCTGTCTCAGCAGAGTCCCTTGCAGGCATACCCACCCCAGCTGGACTGAACAGGCCCTCTCAGAGTTGGGATTACCCATCTCCTGCCCGCAAAAGCCGCACCGCCCAAAATCATATGTAGCTAGACTTATTTATATGCAAGCGTGCACACACACACAGAGAACTATTCAGAGGGCGCCTTTTCATGCTGGTCTGCTGGCAAAAGAGGTTGGAGTGAGAGGAGAAAGGCGCTTGCTTCAGCAGGGCCAGCTGAGTGGACCACTGAGGGCACCCAAGAAAAATGAGGAAGTCAGTGCCAGAGGGGTCTGGGCTCCCCCTGCAGGGGTGTCACTTATGGCCTTCCCTTTTCTCTCTCACAGCCCATCCCAGAGGCCTTCCTGGAAACAATCTCCCCAAGGTTTCACCACCAACAGATGTGCTGATTTTGCAGTGTCTTTGATTCTCTTTCAAGGCTAAGGGCCAACCCAGTCCCTTCCTTCCCTACCTGCAATCTTTCATATGGTGGACAGCTATAGTGAGCAGTAGATCAGGTTGTCCAACAGGAAAATTCAGGAGGGCTACAGCTGAAGTGTGGCCTGGTGGCCAAAGGCGACCCTCCTCAATGCAGTCCTCCAAGCATTCCTCAGGTGGCAATCCAGCCCCTTTGCATTGGACCACCAGTTTTTTTGGCAGTTTTCTGAATTTTAGTTTTCCTAAAGATTAACAAGTCTCCGCCAAGGTATAGTTAGTGGTATCAAAGGCTTTAAAGTAAAATATGCTGTCCTTTTGATAATTGTGGCCCTGTCCTCTTTTTCTGGCCATTTGCACTGCCACTGGTACAGTGCAGTCCCGCCCTGCCCCCTGCCCCCCGCCCCCAGCTTCCGTGAAATTGAATTTGGCCTTTGAACTGAAAGAGGTTTGACAGTGCAGTAGAATAATTCAGACTATATGTATGTGTTTCCAAATTCTTCATTGAGCTTCGGTAGATCAACACTGAAAAATGTCCAATATGCATCATCAACTGGTGCTGCTGGGCAGTAGATTTTGAAAGCGGGCAGCGCCTCCAAGTAGCAATTGCACTCACAAGAGCTGCCACGGTTGTGTTGCTGTACAGGCAAACAGGAGGCTGCAGGGCACCAAATACTAATATGCTAATAAGCCCTCACTGACAGCTTGGGCAATGCCTATTTGGAGACACAGCAAGCACCACCAGTTTGGCCAGAGCACACATGACCACCATAGGAAGTGGATTAACGGCTCCTCCCTTTCAACAGTCTTGAGGTTTGGAGACTGCATAGCAGCCTAAGTTGCAGCATTCCTGCATTTTTCTATAGGAAGAATTTTGTTATACGCCTGGGCTCCAAAGTTAGTGGTGTTAGCACCAGTGAAGCATTATTAACTATGTAAAGCCCAGCTTCAGTCCTGGCTAATGGGGATTTCAGCAAAAGTTAGCACATGGGGGATTCCTGCTCAGGGTTAGGGTTGAGGAAAATTGCATGCTATTTTTCTCTCTCTCCATTTTTGCAGAGAAGTTTTAAGAGATGTCATCAGAGCTAGTGTTGTGTGTGCATGTGTTAATTAAAAACAAAGCCTGAGGTGAGGTAACCTAAATTGTGCACTATTTAAAGAGTTCTTAAGCACTTATATACCACACTTTCTGGAGACACAGATGCTAAGATAAGGAAGCCCCTAGCAGCTCTTCCTGCCCCTCCATTCACTCCCGCCCTTTCTGGATTTGGAAGTTTCACTAAAAATTGCTCTCACATTTTTCTAGTCTATCTTCATTAGCACAAGGGCCAGAAGGTTGTTTTTCAGATTTGTGAAAACAGAGATCCAGGGCTGGAGATCCTCCAGATTCCAACCCCAATAAGCCCGATGCAACACGGTCAATGGCTAAGGATGCTAGGAGCTGTAGTTCAGTGATTTCTGGAGAACCAACGGTGCCACAGTCCTGCTGCAGAAACAGTTATAACCTTGGTGCCACATTCCACACTTGTATGGCTACTTCTCTGGTATTTATACAGGCCTTGCTCACAGCCCCTCTTCCTGTCATCCTCTTCCTTTGCACTCCAGTCTTTAACAGGGCACTTTATATAACAGGGCAGAACTGCAGCAGCAGACAAAAAGTCATGTTAGTGCTGTGAAATGTGCATAGCTGGCCCTGAACAAAGAAACCTGTATTTCCTTGACCGATTTGCAGTGAAACTAATACTGCCAATGATGTGCTGATGTACCAAGGGCTCACACTTTCTTCATCTTTCATTCACAATGTCTGCACCTATATCAGCGCATGATCAGAACTGGGAAACCAGAGGAAGGGAAACGAAATGACTGTCCTGAGCAGCCACTTGCCTCTTCCTTATGATCTAATAAAGGTATTATATGAGCTCAGAGGCGCAAAATGTCTTAAACTGTTGCTTGCACATTAGTGAAAAGATTAGAAAGGCAAGCTCCCAAATGGGAAGTAATAAAAGCAATGATAAACTGATAGGAATGGCCTGGGGGAGGGGGTGTGGAGAGGGTGAATCACACTTCCATGAGATACAAATACCAGAAGTTAAATAATGGTTGCAAAACAGAAGGTGCAGAGGGCTCAGTGTATTATGTGTAAAGTCATTATCTGGAAGCCATATGCATATAGGAGGGGTACATACATCTCCCATGTGTGTAATATGTACATATACAGGGATGCCAAAAGCAGAGGTGCGCCAAACAGCTACACTCTTAACCCTTTCTTATGAAGATTCAAGCTGCACAGACACCATCAATAATGTAAACATACATCAAAGCAGATGTTCAAATCCTTGTCGAGAGCCATGGCTCTTCTAGGGCCAGATTTGGAGGCACTTAGCCATTAAATGGGGAGGGAAGGGAATAGCAACCATTTCCAATTTTCTTCCAATAATCTTGGATTTCTCCTTGCAGTTTTTCTCCTTTTGAGTCTAAATGTTCTTGGAGGATTCCACTTCAGAGATGTCTGCATGGAGAAAGGCAGCAGCAGCCACAGCCAACAAGGCTCAAGGTCTATTCTTGGCCATATAAACAGCCTTCTGAAGTTGCTCTCCTGCGACAAGGTGCAGAGTGTCCAGAGCATGAACAAGCTGCTCCCGGGCATTGCCAATGAAAGTGTTGCTGAGAAAAGCTGGGAGCCCACCTACACCATCACGTAGGGTGTAGAGGGGGACACGCAGGAGACCCATCACCTGAAACAACAGAGAGGGAGCAAATCAAGTCACACAACTCCCTACAGAACCCTGTTCTCCTTTACGAACAAACCTCCCACCTCTGACACCATATCTAAGGTGCCCAATATCAAGCAACAAGCAAGAGCACGAGAGGGAGGGAGGGAGAGGGGGAGGGAGAGAGAGCGAGCAGCGAATGTCTTATTCAAGCATTCAGTTCAACTTCCTGAGAGTTTCTTTTACTTCTACTTTTTAAAAGAGGCTTCTAGTTCTTATAGCTTCCAAATTATGCTCTTAAACATTTGGGCAAAGTCTGGTGAAATCTCAGGAACCAGCGGAGTTGCTGAATAAGATTTTCAGTGGCATCCTGTATTGCTTCCTTGCTCCTCCCCATCTATAAATAGTAAGACTGGAATGAATGATGCAAAATAATTCTTAACATTAGATAAAATAATTACTCAAATTAAGAACATTAGCACAATTTACAAAATGTATGCAAGCTGCAGAATTCAGCTTCTCTTGGAGAAAACTGTGTGCCACTGTGACACCGATTATATTGCTTAATGTGGAATACACATAACCTTGTTCAATTTTCCTTTCCTAGCATTCTCCCTGCCCCATCCTTTCCACACCTCCAAACCATGATCTTTTGCCTGAGTGGCCCTGTCTTCCACTGTCCGGAGCTCCTCCAGGCTAAGCTGTTTAGCATAGAAGTGTGCCACTACTCGCTGTGGCTTCTCCGAGGCACAGGAGTTCAAGTAGTCATTCTCAGTCACGTGTAGAATGGCTGCTCCAGGGCCTAACTCTTCATGCAGCTCCCTCTTCAGACCTTCTTCCAGGGATTGGTCCTGGGGGTCCACAAACCCACCCGGAAATCCCAGGCGACCATCAAATCGCATCTGCATCTGTCCAGGAAGAAGACAAAGCAAGCCTCAGTCATACAAACAGCATAACCTCTCCAACAGGGCTTAAGACACTGTGGGGGTGAGGAATCTCAGGATCATGAGGCACTCCTGGACTGCCTGTGAGCTAAATCTGGCCTGCAGGATCATAGTCCCCCCCCCCACCCACTTTCCCCCAACCACCATGCATTCAGTGCTTTCCCAGCTATTGTGCATCCCCCATTCTAAAAGGTTAAACTCAAATATACTGCCATGTTTGGGTAATTTGGCTCCATTCCTTTTGCTGTTGGGCCTGCTCACCACTGCAAGTGAATTGAGCCCTCAGAATGAAAGAGGCTCAACACCGCCCCCCAGTAGCCCACAAAGCTTCACAGTGCTCCACCAAACAGCCCTCCCCATCACCTCTGCCCCACCTTCTCAGGAGTGAGAAGCTTAGGGTAGAAGGTGCCAACACTTTGGCCCCAGCCAGTTGGACAGGGCACATGAAGGAAATGTGGCATACCCTGAGCGGCCAGTATATACAGCACGTGTGATCCAGTACAGTGAGGGAGGCTGGTTGGCCCACCACCCAGTTCTACCAAATAACAGTAACAGCGCAATCAAAGAGGAACAGACTCAGATCCCGAGGTGACTCACAAGCCAACACAGATTTTGTGCACATCCTTATTGAAAAGGAACTGAACACTCGAACAAAGGTCATAAACTGGGTGTGCACTAAACTGTGCCAACATGGGCAAAACTGATCTCTGGCCATGTATGTGAGGTGGCCTAATAGACATGAAATGTTTTGAACATTGTATGGTGCTGAAGACACACCAATTATTGTCTCCCTCATGGAGAGACATGGCAGGTTAGGCTAAAAAACATTACGTGCATCTTTCTGCAGGCCACTCCTTGATGATTAACACAGATCTTATATTTTGGAGCATTCAGGCACAGCCTGGATTTGTCCCAGCAACAGCCAACAGAGCTCTGCAGTTTCACCTTTCCTCATGTAAATCTGTCCCAAACAATCTCATTGTTAATCACTAGAGCCCCATCCTGCCCCACAGTGCATGACTTACTTTCTAAAATGAAGTGCCCCCAAAATCACACTTTCTGACTCAGAAATCTCCCTTCACACTCTAAATCCAGGCCTCATTCTCAGAGAGGCATTAAACACGTGTTTAGGCTATACCATTTCATTTAAAAAAAAAAAAAGAGCACAAGCAACAAGAAAAACCTCTCCCTCTAAAAAGGAAACTAGCTAGTTTAGGGTTAAAATTGTTTCCCCTGACATACGTGTATGTAAGGACATATACCCAAAAGGAGGGTAAGCCACCTGATCCCCTCTGGATGTTCTGGACAATGACGCCCATAACCCATGTCCCTCTTTTACCTGGTGTTGATAGGATCCGTAGTTCTAAACAGGTGGATGGCACTGGAGGTTGCCAACTGATCTAGACAGGCATATTGAAAGACTGCATAAATGATAATTCAATAAAATCAGCTCCAATCTGCAGAGCCGACTAAACAAGAACTAGGCCTTAGATGTGCAGAAGTTACTCATTAGCGACTAACAAGATGTTAACACACTATACTCAGAAGTAATTGCTTTATTTCACGTGTGCTAGGTACGGGTATTAAAATGGGCTGGGCCCTGAATTTTGAGCAAATCAACTTGATGTAACCGTACCTTCCTCATTAAAAGAGAATTCATTCTCCCTCTTCCCCACTGTTACTTCCCCTATTCCAGCGATCTCCTCCACCCTGCAACAAAAGCGATTCTCACCAAAACTGCAAACCGCAACGGGATCTTTCCGAAAAGACGGCCGGGGCAGGGGGCATAGAGGAGAACATGACAAGCGTGCTTCCAGTCGGGTGGCCCCAGCCGCAATGCTTCAGCCCTGGACAGAACCTGAGATTCACCCATCGTTCACGTCTGCAACAACGCGCAATTTAATCCTCCTTTCGTCTGCACCTGAAGAGTCACCTTTTTTTTGTCGAGGGGGGAAAGGAGCAGTACAGTTCGGTCCAATCAGAACAGAGCGAGCTTCTCTCGGTAGCCAATCGGAGATTCGGAAGGGAGAATCTTAGAACGCAGATACACGTCCGGTTCGTACCATTCTCCCTCGCCGGCCAACAGTGGGCGCTGCTAGACAATTCTTTGATATTGGACTGGGCTAATTGGCTGCCTCGTTTTCGTTCTCGCTAGAATTCATTGGTTCACCGGTGAGTTTGAAACAAACAAATCCTTTAGCCTCTAACAAGTGTTGAAGTATAACTAATCGGTGTTAGGAATAAGCCTGTAAGCAGCAACTAGCACTAAGTGGAAACAGAAACCAAATTGGGAGAAAAGAATTTAGAAATTGTAATTTTTTTAATCTGAAAGGTCAAAAAGAAATTGTAATACCAACAAAAGGGTGTTAGGTGTGGTTTGTCGCATCATATCCAGGCCTGCCTACTTCAGCATTCCTTACAAGGAAGTGGTCCATCAAAAATTAGCCAATGGCTTGGATGCTTCCTGCTTATAGGATGTTTTCCAGCTGTATTTCTGGCAAATTTCAAGAAAAGATAAGCAGTAATAGCGAATGAACTTTTTTTGAGAGGCAGCTTGCCCACTGCTATCCATCTATGGAGGGTTGCCTCTACTCCAATCAGTACCAGGCCCACACCCAGCAGTGGTGAGTCCACTATTGCTAGTCTCCAGGCATCAATACAGGCAGACTGGGAGCCTTTCCAACCAATGGATAAGATCTGATGGTTCTGGCCAGGATCACACATGACCCAAATGTAAACTTAGAATGTTTTCCAAAATCAGCTGTAGTAGGTGGGATGGGGGTCAGCAGCAAACATGCAGAGTTCCTGTGGAAGATAAGTCCATGTGGGAAAGGTTCACTGAAGCTAGAAAGTTTGGAATCTGCTGTGTTAAGGGACAATCAGCGCAGCTCTGTGGCCTGCAAAAAGGACAGCAGGCTTCTGGACAGGACCATCACAGACTCCAGGTGGGAAGGGAGTTATACTTGTGAATAGTTCTGCATGCCATAAGCCGACACCTAAAAAATGAGTTGCCCAGATTACTCCATGATGTGCAGCTTAACTACATACAAGCTTAGAAAGATGGGACAGCCCACACAAGAGCCAGGCTACTGGTCCATGCAGCACTCCCCACAATGGGCTGAGTGGTCCACCCCTTTCCTAGGGTGGGATCACAGACTGGGATTGAACTGGGGCCACCAACATGCAAAACTCAAACTTCCAGCTGGCTAGGGTGGGCTTCTCCTACCGCTTGTGGGGTTCTGGTGCCTATGACAGACCCAAGGTATGTGTGAGAGAAATGGCTTGCAATGTGTTCAACTCCCTCCTGCTGCTGTGGCTAAATGGTTAAACTTTTTAGATAAATAAAGCTGCTCAAAGAGCACTGGTCCCTGGTGTTCTCCAGTGCTTGTCTGAGGCTACAGGCCCACCAGGGTACTCTTTCCCCCAGATGTGCAGAAGGTAAGATGGGGAATGTTGATACCATCCATCCAGGGATTAAATGCTGCAACACTGCTTCACAGTATTGCTTTATTACATTGTATTGCTATCCCCTCCCCGTCTTGTTTTTACACTACTTAGCTTTTTTCCTTGTGCATGTTATCCTTTTCTATTGAACATACATTCAATAGGGCAGTTATACCAGCATATTGATAAAGTGTGGCACAAATGGATAACTTGTAGGCCAAAATGCCGGAAGAGTTGCAATTCCCAACATCGCTCACCATTGACTGTGTGCCTCAGGCTGATTGGGGGTTCTAGGGTTGGCTATATCTGGACAGCCATAACTTGCCCACCCCTGAAGTACTGGATTGCTCTGCCCAACATGGTTTAGATCTCTTACAGGAGCAAATGGCCCTTGCCTTTCAAATCTTGCCAGGGAAGAAACAGCTGCTGATCAATCTGCCTCTCCCAGTTCCCAACCATCTCCCCACTGGAGACCTTTGCACCACAGCAGGAGCAAGGAAGGAGGATGCTTGAGACCACAGCACAGGGGTACAGGTAGGTAATTTCAGACCCTGGAAGGACTGCTCATACAGGGAACCCCCTAGACACCATGCATATGACTTCCGTTGAGAAATGCTAGTTCTTGCTTCACATCGCTCCTCCAAGCACCATTCCATGCTTTACAGCTGCTTCTACATTCCGGTTAAGTTAGAACAAAATTGCTTGCCAACCCTGGTTAAAAAAAAAAAACCCTGTGTGCAGTTTTGCATTTTACAGCTGCTTGGATTTTTGCACAAGCATAGGTTTGCTTCTGCTGCTCTTGTCACCTACCACTCTCTAGGTAGTCCTTTGGGCTCATCTTTTGTTACTGGGCCCTGGGCTTTGGACCCATAGTCCAGACCTACTGTAGCACTGCAGAGGCATGGGCAGGAGGGGTAGTTAACTGCTCCGCCTTCCACTGAAAATGTCCAATGGCAGTGTCTTATTTAAGAGAGATGGTTTGTCCAAACCATGAGCCATGGCACACTGTGGAAGGAAGCCAGGTAAAGAGTGGCAGAGAGGCAGGGCAAACCACAGCACAAGCCCACAAACAGCACTTCTGGGGCATGGTCACACCTACCTCTCAATGCAATAGTTCCACTATGCATTGTTTCCTGTGGCATACACAAGCCAGCCCAAACCACACACACATGCCTCCGGTTCTATAAGCTTTATTTCCAATCCTGCTGCGAGGGCTACCCCGCTAGCCAAAGCAAGGACCAGAAGTCCTCCGGCTGGAGCAAAAGGCACAGCAGAAGCCCTTGCTACGAGGCAGAGTCGGAGGCCTCCGAGCTGTCCTTGATGTCCGTGCTCTCTGTGGCCTCGCTGACCTCGCTGACATCCTTGCTGTCCCCGCTGTCCTCGGCCCCAGGCCCAGTGCCCACCACGGTCCCCGGGCATTTGTCGTCCCGACAGCACTCGCCTACGTGGTTGGCCTTGTGGTCGCCACCCTTGTTCTCGATGGACCCCAGCACAGAGTGCTTGCTCTTCTCCTTCAAGTCCACCTGCCTCCGCAGCTGTGAGGGAAAGAATGCTGGGTTACCCTGGCAGGTTTAGCAGAGGAAGCAGGAGGGAAGGGAGTTCGGCAATGAACGAGCAGGACCTTGGTGGTGCTGGCACCTCACTGGGCCAAGCTGGCTTGCCCGTCACTTTTCCCAGCAAAAAAAGACAGAGTGAGCACAGGAGCACTGATTCAAGGTGCTGTCTCCTCCCCTCACCCTTCTGAGGTGGCTTCCACAAAACTTAGGCAGGCTGAGTGGAGAAGCCAGAGGTGTAGGTCACAAGCTGGCTGCTGCCCCATCCCTGCTCTAGGGTGAAGCCAGAGAAACAGCGTGAAACAAAGCATGGGTGAAGAATGCCACCTAGAGCCTGGGTTCCCTGGGTTTGCCACTGTTCCCATCAGGCTGCTCTGCCGCTCTTCAGAGAGCCTGTAAGATCAAATTGCCAAGTAGCCTGGCATACCTGCAGTTACTTTGGATGCCATGACTGTACCAGGTCACGAGCTCTTCCCACTACTGGGAGCCAGGCTGGCCATCCCACATCTGCAGTACTCAAAAGTCATGAACTACACTGCAGAAAGGGGACAGCTCCTCAGCTCTGGGATATTGCAGACACAAACATATGCCTGTGTTGAGGGCAGCAGCAGGGTCCGTGCTCACCTCCTCTGCCATCTGTGTCAAATCCCGCTTCATGGCGTATGCGTCTTCCCCATCTGCGTAGTATTTGGGCTCCACCTCACTGATTCTGTTGGAAAGAACAAGCAGGTTAATCTTTCCAAAAAAAACCCCACAATAGTAGAGGCCTGGAATGCTGCTGCAAACTTGCTCAGGGCTGGTGTGATGTAGCAGGGAAAGAGGGCAAGCTAGGAAGTCCCCAGTGAAACCCTCTCTCAGCTATGAATTCACAAGTCAGCTTACGCAGGAGACTGTTCTCAAATGCCGGGCTCCCACCTTGACTGTAAAGGGAATTGTGGCTTGTTTCCAGGGTGATGTGAAGATTTCTTTGGGAATGCATAAAAATGCTTTAAACACTCAAAATATACTGTATTGGTGCTCAAAGAGTAATATCCTAAGGTTTGCAGGTGGACAGAATGGCGTAGGGGGGAAATCTTACAAGGGTCACAATATCCAGCAAGCATTAAGATCTTTTTTTTCCTAATAAGCTCTTCATGTCTAGCATTGGGGCATTTGCCTTGGCTATTGTCCCATTGTCCAACCACCCTCCAAAAATACATCAAAGTATTCCATCAGTCCAGTTTTTCATCCTTTCCAGTTGTATTCCACAAGAGAAGGGGAATTCTGTGCTTGAACTAGGATTGCATATGGTTCAACTGGACATGACCTTTGCGAAGCAGGCCATATTGTAAGAACTGGATGAACTTTTGCCTGGATTCTATACAAGCCAGTCCTGTATTTGCACAAATTGGTTCCCTTTGCTCTGCTGTACTCCAGCTAAGCTAGAAGCTTTGGCAGACCAGTGTGCTGGTTTGTGAGGCTCCCCTGGTGCCAACAGAAGATATTTGGAGAAGCACAAGGAAGGACAGGTCCCCAGGGCCATCAGAAACAGGCAGTACACAAGATATAGAAGCACTGCTTGTAGAGGGGCTGTCACTCAGAAATAACTCATGTTTTATGCAGAAGGATTTCTGGTTCAGTGCCCAACATCTCCGAGTAGGGTTGGGGGAAGAGCCTGAGCACCTGGAGAGCCACTGAGCTAGAGGGATAATGGATTGCCTCTGTATAAGGTAACCTTCAGCATCCCTGTGTTCCCAAGCAGAGGCAAATACACCTATACAGATCCTATTGTTGAAGCCATGAACAACAGAGCTCACTTTCCCATCCTTTGGTTATCAAGCCACAGGTTTTAGGAAAGAGTTTTGCTGTCTCAGGAACCTTCAATTTACTGAATTCCACAGGAAACTCCCTTGCCCATAAAAGTTCAAAGCAATCACAAGGATGTTTTAGTTACACAGCAAGCTTGCTCAGTATGCTAGGCTGAGGAAGAATGACTTGCTCAAGGGCACCCTGTGGCTTCTGCAGCAAAGTAGGAGTCCCACCTCCAGTTCCAACTAGTCTAGCTTCACCAGGCTCCTTTGCCCGCATGGTACTCACTGGAAATTGAGTGTGTTGGAGTAGAGGTGAAGCGCTGCTCTGTTACTGCAAGGCAAAAGGGGGAGAGTTTGGAAAATTAAGAGGTGGAGAACACAGGACTATGGGTACTGTGATAGGAGCAAACATTTCCACATGCCCCCCCTCTTCTAACCCCACCCCAGCTCTTGTGAACTTGATAAACCTTTCGGTGGGCCCTCCCAGAGGGAACATGCAGTGAGTGAGTCAAAGAGGTCAAGAGTGGGAGCTTCATCAGAGGAATACAGAAACCCAAGAATCCCAGGAGAAGTGCAGCAAAAAGAAACAATCCAGGGCTACAAATAGGAAGTCAGTGGAGGTTTTCCTTGTTCTGTGCAAAAAAGCAAAAGGGCATCTAATGGGCACAGGCACGCATGTTGAAAGCATGTGCAAAGGGGGCTGTCCCACAACAAAAAATGTTTCCTCAGTCATCCTCACATCCAGACAGTATACAAGAAGACATACGCCCATTCTCCACACCACTCAAACTGTGGTTGCTGGGTTGGAGAATGGAAGGGGTTTGTCTGAATCAACCTCAAGCAGATGCAAAGCTGGGGGCAGAGACATAACCCAGTGACTCTCTCAGGGTTCTATTTATGTAGCAAGAATAGTAGGTTTATGCTTAGTTTTTGGAAAGTTAAACAGAAGAGGGAATAGGGGAGGCTTACCTCTTCCGTACGTGCAGTGAGACATATTTGGCATTGAAGTTCTCGATCATGGCACGCGAGGCCTGGTCCATCAGTTTTTGAGCGAGGCCCAGGCGTCGGTGGGAACGCTTGACTGCCTGGTAAACAGAAGAAACACTCAGCATGAGTTCTGCTTTTCCCCAGACCAGAGGCCACTCCTCCAAGTGAAGGATTGCACAGACTTATCTAATGCAGGGCACCCCCCACCCACCCCATCCCAATTCTAAACTGACCCCAATTCCTGGGAGGCTTCCACTAACTTGTAGCTTAATGCAATGCTACACATTCCATTGATGCACAAGAGTACCTGAAGAGTACTGTGATTTACTAAACTGTATTTCAGCAGGGATTGCTAACCGATGCCCTTCATTCTCCATCCTTTTGCATGGGCATTAATCTGAAAGGTAGGAATGGAAAAACCCTTTCCTTCAGCTGAGGCCTGCAGGTATTGCTTGAGTTCTGAGAGTCGTTTTTCAGCTTCAGTGGATCAGGCCCAGAGTTCCCACAGTCATGACTACTCCTTGAAAGTGTTTCAGAATCCCTTCGGTGTGGGAGGGGGTGAATCTCACCCTACAGAGCCTGGGGACAGAGGACCCTTCCCCTGCCTGATACCCTTCCCTAAAGCCCCATTCTAGCCATGGTAGAAGAGACCAGATGTTTTCCTACATGGTCAGATCACTCTGTTTTCTCTGTGCTCACAGGCACGAGTGTGCAAAAGTGGGTAAGAAAGCAACTGGCTCTACCCACTGTAGGCTGTGCCCCTGTGCACTGCTGCCAAGGAGTGCCCAGTGCAGCTCTTTAGGCAAGCAGTGTTCGCTGCCCCTCCTTAGGGTTTGACCCACAGCTCCCCTCACCACTGGCTTCTTGGGTTAGATCCAAGGGGAAGTGTAAAGGAGCCCACAGGTGGTCAAACAGATGATCGAGTCCTGCTAGCAGCCCTGCAAAAGCTCTGATCTCAGCTTCCTCGACCCTGCCTAGGGGGCCCACCAATGGAAAATTAAGGGCAAAGAGGTCTTACCAGAGATGTGATGTGTCCATGAGGGACATCATCAGGGTCTTCTTCCCTAGAGACAGAAGGGAGCGGTTAGCTCAACTCCAGCCTTGGCCATCACAGCATCTCTGCGTTTAAGGCACAACCTTTAAGTCAAATTGACAGTTTGTACATGTAATAGGTGATCTAATGACCTGAAACCACTTAGCAAAGTGACACTTTTTGTTCAGTAGCTGGATAAAATGTCAACACATTTCATTTCATCTCTGCACTTTATGCAACTTTTAGAAATTATTACAAGTGGATGGCATACATATAATCCCGTTCTTTGGTTTTGTTTAATGGATGGGCTGCACTGCCCAGACTATGAAACAAAATCACCATCAGAGGACAACTGGAAACATTTGTCATAAGAAACCAATGACTGAAACCAAAAGCTGGTCAATTATGTTGGAATGAAGTTAGAACTTGGGCCATGTTTAAAAGGTTCCCGTTTGTTTGCATACACTTATCAGCTAAGACAACAGCCACTGAAAAGCATTTTCATCTTGAAGTATCCACATCACTTACTTTCACACGTACTTTTCAAGCACACTTAATAACAAATAAAGCAGTGACTCTAGTTGCTACAGAAGGAAGAAAACATTCAAAATTAGGTAGTAGAAACATTTGTTTATTATGACTAAGGCGTAAACACAACGTTTCCAATGCTACATTGGGAGCTGTTTGTTACACACTGTTTCCAAATGAAAAAAAAATAGATTATCTATTTTAAACGTCATTTGCTGCAATTTCTGAACATTATATTAAATGGAAAGATCTAGTCTCCTTGTCATGGAATGTGCTGCCACTTGGTTCAGACTCTTGAAACAAAGTGTTATAGCACTAACCGGTTTCATTTGGACAGTTCTCACATGTAATGGGCAATTCCACCTAAAGGCTATAAGATGCTGATCCAGTTCACATGTAATGGCAGCAAATTGTGGCTTTCATTAATTGTGTATGCTGACACATTCTGAGATCCTAACTTAACCCCAACTGAGTATGTCCAACCCAGGCACTGTAAGTTAATTGTAGGTTAAACAACCTATAGTTAACCTTATGCATTAACCCACATTCAAAATTGGAAAATAGCATTTTCCTTTAATACTCCCCTATGAGTTGATTTGGGGTCAAATTCTTTTGTGATCTGGCTGGATGGCATTAAAATTTGGGTACGTTTTAAAAAAGGAATGACTCCACTTGCAATTTTAACAGCAAGAGTGAGTTGGAATGCAATGCTTTATAAGCACAATTTGATTCATATTCTCATGCTAAATTAACTTTATGGAAGAATCCGGTTTGAAGTAAAGAAATAACCTTTTATATGGAAGAGTTTGACTGTTAATAGAATTTATACCTTAGAACCGGTAAACAAGTTTGGACAATGATTCATTTTGCCATTTACAGTATTATGGATTAAATATAGTTTACCATCTAGTGTTAGTTGGCCATACATTCAGCATGTGTTTGTGTCTGTATGTAGGTCATTGGCAACCAGTGCTGCACCACTGGAGGAATGAATTGGTCCTTTACAAACTGTATTTTGGAATGCATGAAAGCAGATGTATATCACAAGGAATCAGAATACTCTATTCAATTTAATCAGTGGAATACTGTCCTGGCTTCCATATATATACTATTTCTGTAGACTTAAAACTGAGACTAATTCAACAAAAAATGATTTTGGATCCCAAAGAGGCTAGTTAAGTGGACTAGTTTTCCTAGATGCTAGCAATTTAACAAGGATATTACCTTACTGAAGCATATTATGTGGGTGTGTCCTGTAGCAGTTTCTGTCCTGCTAGACATCATTGCTTGTATCAATATTGTTCTTGAAAAATCATTGATAAAAGCTCATGTACATCCCCTATTAATTACATCCCCATGATGTGGGGATTAACCCAGAGACAGCAAAAGTGGAAGAGCCTATATGGTTACAAAGAGACATACCACAAGCTTGGAAGGAACACCACCCACCAGCGATCACTCAATGGACTGAAGATCTCACTGCTCTTGCTAAATTTCAGTTAACCTCCCCCTATCATCAGTTGTATGTGTGCTTAGTTAGATATATGGATTACTTATATTTCTTATATATTTGAAAAGGAAATGTTAAATCCTTTCTCCTTGTCTTTATGCTTTTTTTCCTGCTGTATTGATGTTTATACAATTCCACCTCCTTTTTTTCCTTTGTTAGTTTGTTAGTGTTTCAAACAAAGATTTTTATATACAGAAAATTCTCACTGAGCAGAGTAGAATACAATACCATATATATTATCATACATGAAAGAGCTGCAGTCATGAACTAGTCTGATAAACTCATGGAAGAAGTTTAGCATATCTGAGCTAAGCACACCTTCTCCCCATGGATACAGCCCCTTTCAGGTTTTCCAATATTCATTTAGTTTTCTTTCCTATTATTCTCCAAGGGCCTTAAGATTTGCTATAATTTATATTCCCGCTACTGCAGCCCTGGCAACTTCCTAAGGGAGACACTAAACAGCAAGCTGGTCTATGGCCAAGATGGGGTTCAAAAACGGCTTCCTCTGACCAAACCCAACTTCATTCACTACAAAAGTGCCACCATGTGCATGTTACAGCAAACACCAAGCCCTCTGTGCTGAGGCAAACGAAGGCTTTCCCCAAAATTAGGAGGGCTGGGCTGGCAGTGCCGAGGCCAGGGACTGCCCTTAAACAACCAGAGAGGCAACACGTGCCAACAAGGTGGCAAGCTAAAGACAGTCCTAAGCATTCTGGGAAACCAGTGGGATCTTGAAGGTACCCAAAAAACTGGAGTTCACATGCTTCATTTCCTCCCTGCCATCTCTCCCCACCAGCAGCACCAAAGTCCCATCTATGTGGGTGATACTCCTTTCCCCCCACTGGCCACAACTAATGGGCAAAGAGGAAAAGCAACCTACACATCCTCAAGACTGAGAAATATAACCTTCAAATCACATACAATGCTTGTGTATGTAGGAGCATCTTGCTTAGCTGCAACATATGGCACTGCAAGCACATGCACCCATTCACTAAAACAATTCAAATCCAAGTTCCGGCTCACATTTTTGCCAGCACGTAGCCCACAATCTTGCCATTCTCATCTTCAGCAATGTAGGAGAGCTGCAGGAGAGTAAGAAGGTGGTTAGAGAAACAAAAACCAAGCCAGCCAGTGGGAAGGGGTCTTGAGAAGAGATGCAGCATCTACACTTAAGGCAGGAGGCAGCATTATTCTGAGAAAAGGAGCAGCTCTTATTCTGGGAACAAGATCAGCTGTGCATCAAGTAAGCATGTCAAGTCACCTTTGGTAAACTGGAAAGGCACTGGCCTACAGCCTTGTTTGTTTGTTCTTTGTAAGCCATCTAGAGACTTTTGGTATTGGGACGGCATATAAAAACTTTAAATTGATGGGTGACCACATGTGGAAGCAGAGCAGGGGGCTGGACTAGATGGCCTTATAGGCCCTTACTATTCCATTCTACCTATATCAATGCAGACAGGCAAAAACAGAGGGAGAGGAATATCCCACCAGCCTAGCTAGCTTAAAGTCTGAGCCCATCCCTTAAGAATACAGCTTTAGATGTACACCTAGTTGTCCAAGTTTAAAGCCCTTCAAACACAGTATTTCAACAAGATGCTTCTTAAACCATTTAAAACAGGGGTCTCAAACTCAACTTAGCTGGGGGCCACTGGAAGTATAGTCTG